CCAGAGCGTAGGCTATTGAGATACTGCCAGCTCCTTCACCTCCGAGTTCATGCGGAGGAAAGTCAGATGCAAACATTCTAGAGGCTTGACAATTGACGAAATTCAGGCCTTCTCCACGTTCAACAGAGACAAATTTGTCAGTCGCACAACACAATTAGCAAATCACTGAAGTCTTGCATCTCTTATACCCAAACTTCCAAGGTGAAATGGAAATGCCTTCCACAGGGGACAACTCCCGCGGTTTTCAATCACACGTTTGCCAACCTTGGGCGTCTACAAAATCTGTACCCAGGTGACGATATGCCTTCAAGAATCCTCCACCCACCCATAACATGGATCTTACAATAATGCTTTGTCGATTCTTCATAGCACAAGGTGTAACATAGTGGGTCTGTCAAGGTCAGACTAACCCAACACACTGCGACTTGAAAGAGTCACAGCCATTCCTTACAAAAGACGGCATTTCAAGCGGAATCGGCCAAACGAATGGTAGATCTACCCTCGCCCACAAGTCTGTCGTCAGCTTCGACAACGCTCCGCCTACGGTAAATTCAAGAGCATTTGAATCTTGCTTACCTCAAAACTTAACACCCGTGATGCTATTCGAAGCAGACATGAAACGGCGTTTGGCTTGTCAACCCATTCAAATACAAATTTAATTTATTCTGTTGCTACTTGTAACTGTAGTCATAAAATTTATCTATTTGCATTTTTCAATTAAATATTTACTAATGGAAAGTAATTCTTAACCCACAGTTCTAATCAGTTATGATCACGTGCAAAAACACTGGCTCTGCAAGCACGCCCCTAATTGTTTCTTATTTCATGTTTTTGAATGATCTTAGCTATTTTGATCTTTTTAAGCTCATGTATCCCAAATGCTTTGTTATTTCCCGGGCTTTATTTGAGCCTTATTTAAACCGGTGTGTACTTCGGTTGTTTGCAATTTGGTGAGCGTTGAAGTGTATTGCTTTGTCTTATGGGATTTAACGCTCCTCCATTTCAGCATAGGAATTAAAGTTGCTATTCTGACTCCTGCACTAATGCGGACATTATTCCTAATGTGGCGGTGCTGCTACGAGATTGCCAGTTGATTGCAACTTCTGTTAACGACCTTACCGTGAAGAGATTCGCATCGAATTTGTTGTGAATATACATGTGTCAAATGGTCGCGACAATCATTTGGGCTGTGTGGCATTTTTTACGACTTTCGTCAACACGTGAAGCAAAGAGCATGCTCTTCACTTTTGTGAGTGTTTCTTGCATGCTGTCTTTGGTTCAATATGTACCTGTTAGTTACCTGTTGATCCAGAGTTACCATTGAGTTGGGCTTGAATACGTAACTGCACATGCATTGAGGGCAACTCTTTGCACCTAAGTAGACCACTTTTGCTTACTGACTTCGCGTCAGTGTATGGGGGTATGACGAGTCATAGACCTTCTATATGCTGGCTTTTACTGGGTCCCATTCATTGATGTTGGACGCAGATCTATGTTGCGGTGCCTCATGCCATGCCAGGCCTTTGTGCCTGGGATGTCGAAGGGGCTCTGCAGTGATAATGCGGTATGCAG